AAGAAGAAGACAAGCCAATGAGAATGAGGGTAGCAAAGAAACAAAATTAAACTTTTTCTTGTTTTGGACAGTGATATAGTAGGGATAATTATTTTATATAATTTTACCCATTATTAAATAAAAATATTAACTTATTAACTAAAAATTTTTAAAAATAACAACCAAAGTTGGAAGTTTAATTAATTTTCATAACACTTCTTAAACTAAAATAAAAAATAAAAGACTCATACTCAGTCTTGGGGAAGGGGTAAAAGATTTCTTAATTGGATAAAAAAATCTGAAGAGAAATGGAGGTGGGGAGATATGAGAGGCTTCCCATTTCAAGTGTTGCTTCAATTTGTTGTGCATTTTAGTAGGAGAAAGTAAAAATCAAGTTTATTTATCATACCATATATCTAAATAAAGATTTATGCTTTTTATTTATTATATATGATATATTCAAATGAAGAAAAAAAATATTGTTTTCATCAAACAAAATAAGCTATTACTGGTAGAGTAAAAAAATTAAGCACAAAATAATGGTAGAATTGTTATAAACCTACACAACAAGTTTTTTTCCTTTACACATTAATTAAGAATGGTTTTAAAATGTAAAAATTGTATAAATTATATGCTACCTTTTGAGCATCATATAAATTGTAGTATAAAATTACATTTTGTATAATTATATGCTACCTTTTGAGCATCGTATAAATTGTAGTATAAAATTACAATTAAAAATTTTTTTTTTTACAATAAAAAGATTGTAAGTAGGAAGGAAAAAAAAAAAAAGAAAAAAAAGAAGGGAAAACCCTAAAAGTAAACCACGGCGAAGCGCAAAATGCGAAATTTTCAGTTTTGCCACTGCCTCCCTCGCTGCTGCTCCAAATATATAAAACTCCAGCAACTTCAAAAATCTATTTTCTCGGACTAGTCCGCAGCAGCAGCAGCGGCAGCAGAAGCAGGAACTCGAAGCTCCTTCTTCGAAGCGGGAAAACAGAGACAGAAATTTCAATTCGGCCGATGGCAAATGCGGTGGTCGACGATGATCAGAAATGGCTTCTCAATTGCTTGTCTGCTACTCTCGATCCTAACCAAGAAGTTCGTTCCTTCGCCGAAGCTTCGCTTAATCAGGCCTCTCTTCAACCAGGTTTCTTGACCTAACCTCTTTATTTTTACACTCTCGTTCTTCCTTTCTGATTTCTTCGGAGATCGTCAATGCTACCGTTTTAGCTAATTCAAATCTTGTCCGCCATTTCTAATTTCTCCTGAAGGTTTTGGCGGAGCATTGTCCAAAGTCGCTGCAAATAGAGAGCTTCCGTTTGGTCTGCGTCAGATATCCTTTTTATGGCGGTTGATTTGCTTGAATCAAGATTAGTTTTCTTGCTTTCTCGTTTATTATGTTTGCTTTGTAAAGCTTTAACATCTTTTTACCTAGCTGCTGTTCTTCTAAAGCAGTTCGTCAAGAAACATTGGCAGGAGGGTGAGGAGTCTTTTGAACATCCTGCTGTATCAAGTGATGAGAAGGTGCCTTTAAAATTTGACGACAAAGCTTCATCTGTAGTTTATATAGTTTTAAAACTCATAAATTATGTTTTGATTCTGCTTGCGTTTATAAAAGTCATAAAATTGTTATAAAGAAAGGTTTACTACAAAAATGTGGGTTGATTAATCTATAATTGGAGTTGTGGTGTTACTTTTGGAGCAATATGTTGCAATAGTGAAAATTTTTGATTTTATACATTTTCTCTAATATATTTGATTCATCATGGTTATATTGTCAGGCAGTTATACGTGGACTTCTTTTATCATCCTTGGATGACTCTCATAGAAAAATCTGCACAGCAATTAGTATGGCTATAGCTTCCATTGCAGTCTATGACTGGCCAGAGAACTGGCCAGACTTACTGCCTTTCCTACTTAAGTTGATTAACAACCCAAATGATTTGAATGGAGGTAGGTATTTGAACATGTGTACCACTTCTAATTGTTGCATAATATTTATGTAATATGGCTCCCCTGCAAATGGTATCCTACAAGTAATTCTTTTAACTTAATTTGTATTTTAAAGATTTGTGAGCGTCTATAAGAATGAGACGAGGGGATGGCTGCATATTAGCTGATAACATGAAATCTGTTCAGGGATTTAATTCCAGGTTTTCATAGAATGTGTTTTCTGATATTTATGTGTAATTCTCTTCCGAGGTACTAGACCACTTCTGATCCTATAATTTTCCTTGACAAAATGTTAGTATGCAGAGTGCTTCCAGTTAGGATATTTTTGGTTCTCTATCATTTGGGTCCTACTTTCTGCATGCTGTTTGTTTATTAGCTTATTGTCATGTCTTGAATGAATATGTTTGAATCCAGAATTAAATAGTTAAAGTTCGTAACTTGGGGCTGGATGATGCTATTCTTTAGAAGGCTATTAACCACAGAATAAATACATTTGTTTAAGTTTGTCAGGATTGTTTATTTGCTGACTTTTTTCAAGAAGGGGATTCCATTTCCATGCTTTGCAGCTTATTATAAAATTTTGCTTCATTTAGTTTGAAACATTCTTAAATTTTGTAGTCCATGGAGCTCTAAGGTGCTTGGCGCTTCTCTCTGGGGATTTGGATGATGCAATGGTGCCAACACTAGTACCTGTTTTATTCCCTTGTTTGCATGCTATTGTATCATCTCCTCAAGTGAGTTTTCTTTTCTGTGCATTTATGAAAGTTACTAAGGATTAGATATATCTATGCATTTGAGATTGCATAGGGAAATGAATTTGGAAATATCTCTTACATCTAGGCATTCCTAGCAAGATATGATGAATCCACTGTTTAGGTGTGTTGAAGTGTTATCGTCCCACAACAGTTAGGTTAGGGGTTTCATGCTGTCTTATATTCAAGTTGGGGGCAAAAACCAACTTTTGGCCCTTTACCTTACTAGGTTTGTAGGTTTTAGCCCCTCACCTTATACTATGACACTTTTAACCCCTCACCTATTAGAATTGAAGAAAATAGCCCTCACTTTATAATATTTCGTTTGTTTTGTTAACCACAAGTTAAGTCTGTTAGCTGACTGTTAACTGTGTTTGCTGAAAGTAGGTTTTTGCCAGTTAACAGTCAACTAATAGAGTTAGCAGTCATCTAATAGAATAGTTCTGTTAACTGACTGTTAATTTTATTAGCTGAAAATAGGTTTTTGCCAGCTAACAGTCAACTAATAGAGTTAACTGTCAATTAACAAAATTAATAAAATATTATAAGTGAGGGTTATTTTCTTTAATTCTAATAGGTGAGGGGCTAAAACCTACAAATCCAATAAGGTAAAGGGCTAAAATATGCTTTTGCCCCAAGTTGGGCCTCTCCACCTATGGTCAATTGGGTTTAGGTTAGACACTAACCTTGGTATCAGAGCCCAAGTTTTGTTTTTCCCCTTTTCTTGTTTGCCTCCCATTTTCCATGTATATGGCCTGTGTCTTGCATAGTTCTACCTCACTTGCATGTGAAGGGGAGTATTGAAATGATATCATTCCAAATTGATCAATTTGGAGTATCTTGTGGTTTTAATTTCGAGTTGAGCCTCTACATTGATTGCCAATTGGTTTTAGGTTGGATACTTAGCATAAAATCAAGGAAACTTGTGTCTTTGATTTCTAGCTTACAGTTTGAACTAAATTCAAATTCATATGTCCCCCATTCTACTTCAGAAATCTCGCATCACTAATTGAGGACTCTCAGTTCTTGTATATAGTAGATATATGCATTCTTCAGTTTATTTGACATAATACTTGTTGTGTAGATCTATGACAAATATTTGCGAACCAAAGCCCTTTCAATAGTTTATGGTTGCATCTCTTTGCTGGGAACAATGAGTGGTGTATATCAGGTACTTTTTTAACCTGTTTCATTGTGTGGGGTTCTGAAATTGTGGTTAAAATTCAGTTTGGTCTATTATTGACAGATGAGATATTTACATTCAGGCAGAAACTAGTGCATTGATGGCACCATTGCTTAAGCCATGGATGGAGCAATTCCATTTTATCTTGGAACATCCTGTACAGCCTGAAGATCCTGATGACTGGGGCGTCAGAATGGAGGTTGGTTTTATGATTTATCAAAAGCTGTCATCATTTCAACTACTCTGCTTCTAATGAGACTCTGATTTTAACTTTTCTTAGGTCTTAAAATGTTTGAATCAGTTTGTTCAGAATTTCCCTAGCCTTACTGAAAGTGAATTTATGAGTGAGTTTCAGAAATGTAAAGGTGTATCATTTATTTATGTATAAATTTTTACTATTTGATAGTTAATATTTCTTGTTCTGCCCCCCTGCAGTTATTATGGGGCCATTGTGGCAAACAGTTGTCTCATCTCTAAAAGTCTATGTCCAATCATCAATTGAAGGCGCAGAAGATCCCTATGAGGGAAGATATGACTCTGATGGTGGAGAAAAAAGCCTCGATTCCTTTGTCATCCAGGTATCAGGGGTTTGCAGGTTGCAATTACATACTGAACTTGTTTCATGGTTTTCACGTTTGAGCATGTAGTTCCTGATTGTTTTGGTTAACTACACGTAGATCAAGGTGTTTTCCCTTTGCATAACAGCATAACAGTTTTAAAAGTTTTTAACATATATTGGTATTCAAGCTAAGTCAGATGTGGCAGTTGACATTTTTGTATCCTTTAAAGTTTCAAATTTTGCTTGCCTAAAGAGTTATGGGTTGTGACAAGGATCTGTAAATGCACATGGAATAGATTTGTTCAAGATTTGGACACTCCAGCTTAGTGAGATGTTTGTGCACCTGATTTATTTTTTAGAATTACAAAAAGAAAATAAAAATAATTGATCAACTGCATTGCTAAAGCTGATGGGATTGAATCCATATTCGGTTGAATGAGTAAAGAAACGATTTCCATGAAGGAAATAAGTTGTATACGAGATGATAGAATTTGAGCTATTTACCCTTCACTTGACTCAGCTCTACTAAGTCTGCAGTTGGGTGTTTAGTTCAGGTTTTATTATTTTTATTTTTTTCTTGTGCTTGTGGTCTGGGTGTTGAACTCTTCCCAAAGGTTTTATCACTCTGGCTTTTTTTCAAGCGAGCCTGTTTAATTCTAGTTAACTCCATTACTTGTTAAAATCTGCAGCTATTTGAGTCTCTGTTGACCATTGTGGGCAGCACAAAGTTGGTGAAGGTATGTTTTAAAGAGTTCATAATACTATCATCATCTTTTCACATTTTTTTCCTGAATATTTTGTGTAACTTCTATTTTATGATATAGGCAGTTGCACATAATGTCAGAGAGTTGGCATATTACACTATTGCCTTTTTGCAAATGACAGAACAGCAGGTGATTATGTATTCATTTTTAATACCAGAATGGTATTGATCCATGAATTCTCTTATCTTACCATCCACCAGAAAAGAACGATGTCTCATTATGATGCCTATTTTACCAGAATAGCCCATGTCTCTTTATGTCCATAATCATTCATTTGACTGTTATCTTATTTTCATCAGGAAAATATTCATCTTGGAGTATTGCTATTAAATACATTCTCAGTTGCCATTAAAATTTTCAGTTTAAGATCTCCTTTTGTGCTCGTTATTTGAATTATCATGTCTTCTATCTAGGTTCATATCTGGTCAACGGATGCTAACCAATTTGTTGCTGATGAGGATGATGTCACTTATAGCTGTCGTGTTTCTGGTAGGTTCATGTAATTTATAACTTGTATTTACCAGGAACAGCCCCATCTATGTTGCTTATGACAGTTGTTTCTGATTGCATTTCATTGTTGTTTGATGATGCATGGTTTTGGTCATGTTAATGACAATTTCTCTATTAAAAAAAACCACCGTCATAGTTACCTTTGGTGCCATCCATAACAATATCATGGTGTTAAGAAACTTATTGGGACACATGGGGGTCTTCTATCCTGTGTTCTGCTCCAGGAAATCAAAACTAAATAAAACTCGAATTACTGGAAACTTAAGTAAAGCTGTTAGAGTAAGTTTTGAAATCTTAGGGTAGAAAGAATATACATGAAATTGCACCTTCTAGATAAAACTTCATGCACCATGACCAAATGTTTCATGTAAAAACTAATGTTCTGATGTCAGGCAAAGCAGCATGTAATGGATTTTGCAGGTAAATATTCATGGTCTCTCTATCTCCCACCTACCTGACTCCGTTTACCTTAAGGTTCAACAACAATAAATTATTAGAAAACTTGATGTTTTGTGTTTTACTGGATATACCATAAGTCATTAAGTGGTTCTATTGGGTTTGAATCTCATTGGGAATAGATTTCCATGGTCAAAAGTAAAATTTGTCCATTAGGCATCCAGGAGCCTTGTTTGATGGTCATCTTGCTGTGGTGGTGCACCTTCTTTTTTTTCTTTTCTTTTTTTTTTTTTTTTTCCATTTTTTTTTAATCTATCCCCATTGATATTGACAAATACATTCATCCAGTCTCTTTTCTCTTTGCTATGCTTAATGCATCATCAGCTATCTCTGTCAACCCTAACTTTGCTTTTTCTATTTCCATTATCTTAAAGCATCTGTTGAGGGTCATAATCTTATTATCTTCTTTTTGTGAATTTATGTATGGGTCAAAATCCAAATCTTAGGCTCCATTGACTTTCTAGAGTTATTTTTTAATGAAGTTTCTTCCTGCAGGTGCACTTTTACTAGAAGAGGTGGCAATCTGTTATGGGAAACAAGGAATCAATGCCATCATAGATGCTGCAAAAAAACGGTTTAGTGAGTCTCAACAAGAAAAGGCTTCTGGTTCTGCAGTTTGGTGGAGAGTGAGTGAATTAACTTTTTCATTTTGGGAGTTTGTTTTGGTGAAAATTTATCTGGTAGAAAATATTTCTGATGTCATGTGTTCTTTATATTGAGTCAAATGTCAATATACTTACATGAAGTCATTGGAGGTAAAGGATCATAAGGGCGGTAATAATTTAAAGATATAGCAGTGATGCTAATTTTTCCCAATGAAGCTGGGTATTTTTTTGAATCCTTTTTTTTTTCTCCAAATGCTTATGGTTGTTTTTGAGGATTCTATTTATGATTTTTGTTACATTAGTTTTTTGCCTAGCATTCTTACTGTACTTTCTTTAATTCTGTTGTCCAGTTTTTATTCTATAATTATGATGTGGTAAATTTTTGGTAGATGAAGGAGGCTACTCTGTTTGCCTTGGCTTCTTTGTCTGAACAATTGCTTGAGGCGGAGGTTTGTTCATTTTTATTAACTGTTTACTAAGAAGAAAGTCTGTAATTTGGCACTTTATTTTTGTGTCTGATTGTAACTGTCATTTCTGAGTAGGTTCTTGTCTGTTTTATTCAATTTACCTTAGCAGGTTTCAGGACTGACAAGAGTTGGCTTAGGAAATCTTATAGAGCAAATGTTGACAGAAGATGTTGGAAGTGGTATTTATTTGCATCTGTTGTACTGCCAATGGCTTTATAAGATTGTTTAATCTATTGAACTCTTGTTATTGTTATTGTTTTTGTTTTGCAGGAGTGCATGAATATCCCTTTCTTTATGCCCGTATACTTAGTTCAGTTGCTAAGTTTTCTTCTGTGGTGAGAACAATATCCTTATTTTTGAGGTTGTTTCATTTCTGAAAATCTTCTTATTGAATCAATGATCTTGTTTAGATAAGCCAAGGAATTCGTGAACACTTCCTCCAAGCTGCTGTTGACATTATTGGCATGAATGTGTATGTGTGCCTGTTCCCTTTTTTTTATTTATCAATCCACTCAAAAGTGTAAAACTTATGGTGAGAGTGTTTGTATGGCAGTGCCCCACCTGTCAAAGTGAGTGCCTGTCGAGCACTTTCACAGCTTCTCCCTGAAGTAAACAAGGATATCATACGGTCAAAAATGGAAGGTTTATTGTCAACACTGACAGATCTTCTTTATCAGGTAGTCATTTAATATACTACTTTAATGAAATTGTTGAAGTTCTGCTTAATGATTACTCTTTCATCCTGTTTTTCAGGCCTCTGATGAGACCTTGCACCTGGTACTTGAAACAATACAAGCAGCAATTAAAGCTGGTATGTTTTAAATCCTATGTTGTAACATGGTTTTTTTTCCCATTGATTTCAAATCGCCATGCTTTTTTAATTCTCCTTTTTCTTTTGCTAATTTTAGGTCATGAAGCATCAGTCTCCATAGAGCCCATCATGTCTCCTATAATCCTCAACCTGTGGGGATTGCATGTTTCAGATCCTTTTATCAGCATTGATGCAATAGAGGTTCTGGAGGTTGTAATGTGTAAATTTTAAGTATTTAATTTTTCTTTTTTTGTCTTCATTGAAATACCACATTTCTGTTTGCCACAATTGGTTATTCTTTGAATGTTCTAGGTTAGTGAATATTGTCTTGACTCTTGATATGTAACTTTTTCAACCTTGGGCCTTACTGACTGAATAATCTAAGGTTGTTTAGGATGGTATAGTGCTTGAGGACTTGAAATGCCTGATGTATATTACCTTTTGTTTGTAGAAAGGTGATATGATCTGAGAGAGTACTTGTTCTGAGGCCAGTTGGCTATAATTCAAAACTAAGCTGTGATTGAGAAACATATTTAAGAAAACAATAAATGGTTGTGAGATAAATTCCATTTTTTTTTTTGCTGCTTAGTAAGTTCTGAGTTACACATCTACATCCTTTTATGATTGTTGGTGGGATTGGCGTATAATTTCTTTTCTATGTGTTAGGACAATCATCATTGATTTATTAAGTCACCTTTGAGATCTTTTGTGCAGGCAATAAAAAATGCTCCTGGTTGTATTCACCCACTGGCTTCCCGAATTTTTCCATTTATTGGGCCGATCTTAATCAATGTATGGCTTGTAGAATTATTTATTTGACTGCATGCTACTTTAAATTTGTTTGTTTCTAAGCATCTAGATAAAAAAATTTTCAGCCCCAACGGCAACCTGATGGACTGGTAGCAGGATCATTGGATTTGTTAAATATGCTGTTGAAGGCAAGTTACAACAGGATGATTTTCAGATATTTTTGTTTTGTTGTTGGATTTGAATGCCCTCCTTTAAACAACATTGATTTGTATTACATACTAATTACATTTTGTAATAGCATTGTACAGAATGCTCCTAGTGACGTGGTGAGGGCAGCATATGATGTTTGTTTTGATGCTGTTGTTCGTATAGTTCTTCAAAGTGATGATCACAGTGAACTCCAGGTTATATTCTTTTGCTGTAACATCTCTATACCGTTTGATGGCTACTGGAAATATATCATATGAAAGTAAGTCTTTTATTGCACATACATCAATCAGAATGCAACAGAGTGTTTGGCATCTTTTATATCTGGGGGTAGAGAAGAAATTCTTGCCTGGGGTGTTGATTCTGGTTTTACAATGCGCAGTTTGCTTGATGCAGCTTCAAGGTAATTTCTCTCTATCTCTCCTTTTGTCTCTTACAATTTTTCTATCTATTACATATTTTACTTATTTAGGTTTGATGGGGCATGTCAGTTACAATGGAGAAAATTACTTCCACCATCCTTAAGTTTTATTATCCAAGAAACCTGGAGAAACTCTTATTTAGCTTTATGAGAGCCTTTTGGTTGGATAATGGACCCATAATAGTGCTGATTGCCTCTGGGAAATGTTGTCTGATTGTTGCAAATGATCATATTATGGTGGTAGTTATATTAATAGTTATTTGAAGATGACACCAGACTGTCATGTAACATTCACCTGGACAAATAGCCGTATGAAATTTTTTGTTTCTTTATTAATAGATTATTGTGGGATTTAATCAGTGCATCTAATAATTTGCTACTGGGCCTTACGGTGCTTACCTATTTCATTTTGATGAGGGAAGTGGGTGTCTGGTTTCTTCTTGGAATAAGTTTGTCATCTTTGTTATGAAAGGCTGTCAAGTACGTGTTGAACTGTGTCTCTCATTTGAGGGAGCAGTTTTCTTCCTGTTTTATTTTAGAAGGCACAATCTTAGATGTTGTATGTGTCTTTTCATGCTAGATGACATGGATTACATGTAATTTTAGATTAAGAAATTAAGTGGTTTAAGAAGAATTTCACGTGGAATATAGTACTGATACTTGTGGTTATGGTAGTGAATAAAAAACATTTGTAAATTAGTCATTTGAAAATTGAAACTTATGGCCATGCTTCTTTCCTCTTTCATTGTTTCACAAGTCTCATCTTTGGGCAATTCTGGTGCAGGCTTCTCAACCCTGATCTGGAAAGCTCTGGATCTCTTTTTGTTGGAAGCTACATCTTGCAACTTATCTTGCATCTTCCATCACAAATGGCACAGCACATACAGGACCTGGTTTTTGCCCTTGTTAGACGAATGCAATCAGCTCAAATATCAGGATTGAAAAGCTCATTGTTGCTTATCTTTGCTAGACTGGTACTGCTGTTCATTGCTAACCTCTAATATTGTGGTATAAAATTTAAAGCCTGGTTAAGAACCCCAAAAGGAAGTTAACTAGGGAAATGAAAGCCCTTTTTACCTTTTTTTCCCCTTTTTTTAATTTAGGAAATTTTTAGATTAGACTTGCTAATTTGACCTGTACAATGTCGTATGAAAATGTGAAAACATTCAAAGTAAAGCAATATTAATAAATCTTAAACGAACAACTATAATAGAACAATTGTTCAATATTTGACTAAAAGAATTTTATAATGTTTAAAATGGAACTGAACTGATCTTGGTTTTCCACACTTTGTCATGTTAGAACAATTAGAAAACCCTTCCTAAAACATTCCGACATTCTTCCTTAAAGGTTAAGGGAAGGAAGGAAATATTCTTGCTTGCAACTGAGTCAACACTACACACTTACTCCATATATCTATGTTATTATCCTAATAGGATTTAAGGTATTGATTGATTCAACTTCAGGCCTTTACAAAGTGTTTCTTAATAAAGTGTTAAGCTGCATGACACCAACATAAGCAAGGAAACTTCTCTAGCCATCATGGGACATGTTTTATCATTTAAATTACTTAGACTTTGTTTGGCAAGGAGATAAAGAAGGTAGAAAACTCAGTGTGGTTGGCTGACAAAAAAAGGGTCCTGCCAGCCACCCTAGGGTGGAGCCTTTCCTAGTATAAAGATGAATGCTTGCTTGAACCAAGTGCTAGTATCTGTTCTGTAGTTCCTGTTACGTATTCTAATAATTGGATAAAATAATTATTTAGTCTACTAAAAAACCAATCTTTCACTTATCTGTATTTGCTGCTCACTAGGATTTGTGGTTAAGACGTTAGGTTTGCACTCGTTATCCTTTCCTGGAACCAAATTTCTGACTATTATGTTCCTTGAAAATGCAGATTCATTTGAGTGCCCCAAACATTGAGCAGTTCATTAATTTGCTGATCTCCATCCCAGCTGAAGGCTATGAGAATGCCTTCTCCTATGTAATGTCAGAATGGACTAAATTACAAGGTAAGTTTTCTTTTACATTCTTGCTTCTAGCTAGGAAATAAACTTTATCCTCATGATACCAGATGCTGAATTGGTCATATGTGAATGCAGAAGATATGATGAACAACTAATTGCACTTTATCATTTCCTAACCTGAGACAGGGAAGACATGTTCTATGGAATAATTTAAATCAATTTCTTTCACTTTGTTTAAATTTTTTATCAGTGTGAAGTATCCATTAGAATACAAACTCATTTATTTTATCTGATATTTTTAACTATTACCACTGGAATTGTAAAAGCTACAAATAAATAAAGCTTGAAGTAATAATCTCTCCACGACGTGCATTTGCATGCAGGAGAAATTCTGGGAAGCTATCAAATCAAGGTCACTACGAGTGCTTTGGCCTTGCTGCTTTCCACGAAACATGCTGAAATAGCAAAAGTTAATGTCCAGGGCCTTCTAATTAAGGTTTCAATGATACCTTTCAGGCTTAAATTGCTTTATCTGTTAGGTGTGCTTCTTTGATGAATGATTTTAAGTTTCATGTAATTGTAAAGTCTGATTCAGGGATAACCACTCGCTCAAAAGCAAAATTAGCTCCGGATCAGTGGACTTTGGTGCCACTTCCTGCAAAGGTACCCCCAGTTTACTTATTTATTTATTTATTTATTTTTTGTAATGATTGTTCATGAGTCTCATTCCCTAGAATTGTTTCCTTCTGTAAACTAGATATTCCCACCAGGGCTGGCCACTTTTGAGAGCGTCATAGTTTTATTGTTATACAATCCATTGATTTTTTTTCCTTCGTACAATTATTGTGATTCAATCCGTTTCCCTCAACTGTTTGTTTCTTCAAATTTTAGATCAGGTGTTATGAAGAGCAGAATTAACATTGCAAATATTTTCATGTACATCCTGGACACTGCAGATTTTGGCTTTACTGGCTGATGAATTGATTGAGATACAAGAACAAGTTCAGGCTGCTGAGGATGAGGTAATTATTGTCCTTTTCTTTTTCACTTTTCTGTTGAATCACCTGGTATGGAACTTTAGGCCTTGTGTGAATTGTCCAACAGGATAGTGACTGGGAAGAAATTGAGGAGGATACGGAATCTGACAGGTCCTTGCTATATTCATCTGCTGCAGTAGCGCTGGGCAGATCAACGAAGGAACATATTGAAGCACTTGCAAAAGCATATTGTGAGGTTTGTGAGGATAAAATACCATCATGTACAATCTTCAATCTTTCAACTCTTTTCTTTGCTTCACTAATAAAACACATGATCTTGATATTGTAGAACCAAGAGGATGACTTCGAAGTTGAAGCTCTAAACGTTGTAGATCCCCTTAATGAGGTGAATCCTGAACCTAAATCTATTTTTATTTACTCACATGTGTGATGTTTCATAAAAATGTTGAGTTCTTGCAATTGGACCCTGCAGATTAATTTGGCAAATTATCTTGTGGATTTCTTTGTGAAGTTCTCTCATAGTGAAAGACAACTTTTTGAGAATCTTTGTCAGGTTTGCTTCTATCTCTGACAAGTATTTGACACAATGGTTATTCTCTTCTCCAGCACAATACCTTTTATACTATTTGGGCCAGATGACACCCCACCCGCACAGAGACATGGATACACCGTCACTCACGCAGGCACTGGCACACGCACTCGCACCTATATCTTAGTTTCATCTTTTATATTTCTTTCTTGAAATTGCAGAGTTTGACGCAAGCTCAACGGAATGCTATTCAAATGGTTCTAAATTGTTGAGGTGCGCCTGCTTGATGCTGGAGTGTGGGTTGTCAATTTGTTTGATTATTTGTAGATTTTGTTTCTTGCTGTAGAGATCTTTCCCCGTTGGGGTTGTAATAGCCTAGTTTTGCCACTCTGCATTGTGTTTAGCATGATGAGGGGCCTGCTGTTTACTGTTAAGTTTTGATGATGAGTCAGCATATATTGAAGTGATGGGTTGAGTGGATTAGTAAAGACAAATTTAAATCGAGCACCACGCAAGCAGACTTCGTTTAAAATGGTTTTAGTTTT